TTTTTTTTTTTTTTTTTCTGCCACCAATTCGGGTGGGAAAAGCGTCTCCAGCCCTTCCTTGAGCCGGGCAGGATCGCCGGAATTTTTGTCAAAATTTGGGCATTAATTTTGGGAATAAATCAGGAATAATCAAATTTCCTGAGGTTAAAAATGACCTCATAAAACATAAAAACAACTCTCGTGCCTCAGCCCTGGCACAGCTCTCGTTCCCACTCGATTTAGGGTGAGTTTGGGAGGGAAGTTGATTATCCCAAAGCGTCCTTAGAGGTTCAGGAGGAAGGAAATTGCGAATTCCTATTAAAAAATCCTAAGGAAATTTAGAACCAGCTCTCTGCGACGGATTTAAAGCCGCTCAGCCCCTTCCCAAAATTTCCCCCATCCCCGGTTTGGACCCTGCAGCTGGGGTGGGGATGGGGAGGAGTTTTTGGGGAAGGGCAGAGGAAAAACCCCCTGGGAAGCAGCGTGTCCTCAGATGCCGCCTCAGCTCAAGATGTGCCGCGACGCCTCGGAAGGAATCGGTGCCAAAATCCATCGGCGGAGCCGTTCCCGGTGCCAGCCGGGGGRATTGTGCCATTCCCGGTGCCCCGAGCCACGGCTGGGATCGCATCCCAAAACACGCGGGTGACCCCACCCAGCCAGGGCGGGTTCCGTTCCCTGCTCTGTGAGGATTTCGGGATGCACAACCGGGAAAAAACGGGATCTCATCGCCCAAAATCTCACCCCGCAGCCGCGTTCCACCCCCCAGCGCCATTCCCGAGAGTTCTTTTCCGTTCTCCCGGCCCTGCTTTGCTTTTTAGGATGAAATAAAAGAGGAAAGCGCTGCCCGCATCATCGGGAAACTTCAAACTCCCGGCCCTGCTTTGCTTTCCAGCATGGAATAAAAGGGGAAAGCGCTGCCCGCATTCCCGGGAAATTTCAAACTCTCGGCCCTGCTTTACTTTCCAGCACTGGAATAGAACTGGAATAGAACTGGAATAAAACTGGAATAAAACTGGAATAAAACTGGAATAAAACTGGAAAGCGGCTGCCCACAACCCTGGGAAAATTCAAATTCCCGGCCCTGCTTTGCTTTCCAGGATTAAATAAAGGGGAAGGTGACTGGCGGCATCTCCGGGAAAATTCAAATTCCTGGCCCTGCTTTGTTTTCCAGAATGGAATAAAAGGGGAAAGCGCTGCCGCAACCCCGGGAAATTTCAAACTCCCGGCCCTGCTTTGCTTTCCAGGATGGAATAAAAGGGGAAAGATTCTGCCCGCATCCCCGGGAAAATTCAAACTCCCGGCCCTGCTTTGCTTTCCAGAATGAAATAAAGGGGAAAGCGCTGCCCGCATCCCCGGGAAAATTTAAACTCCCGGCCCTGCTTTGCTTTCCAGGACTGGAATAAAACTGGAATAAAAGGGGAAAGCGCTGCCCGCATCCCCGGGAAAATTCAAACTCCCGGCCCTGTTTTGCTTTCTAGAATGAAATAAAGGGGAAAGCGGCTGGCGGCAACCCCGGGAAATTTCAAACCCCCAGAAAACCGCGCGGAGCCGGGGATGGGGCAGCGGCAGCAGCGGGATCGGCCAGGAATGGGGATCATTGTGGAAAAATCAAATATTTTGAAGGAAAAGTTCCGCTTCCCACCGTGTGATCCGCAGGGGGATGAGATGAGATTTTGAAAACGGATCGGAACAAACTCCGAGGCGGCGCCGCCGGGCTGGGCTGGGGCTGCAGCGACGGGAATGATTTCARTTATTGGGGTTCGGCGCTTTTTGGGGTCTCAGCG